TATGATGTCACTTATATGTGGAATGTAAAAAGAAAAAAAAAGACAAATGAAGTTATATACAAAACAGAAACAGACTCACAGACATAGAATACAGACTGGTGGTTGCCGGGGGGAGGGGGCTGGGAAGGGATAAACTGGGAGTTCGAGATTTGCAGATACTGAGTGGTATCTATAAAATAGATAACAAGTTTCTACTGTCTAGCACAAGGAACTATATTCAATATCTTGTAGTAGCTTATGGTGAAAAAAGAGTATGAAAATGAATATAAGTATGTTCACGTATGACTGAAGATTGTGCTGCACACCAGAAATCGACACAACATTGTAAACTGACTGTATGTCAATAAGAAGAAGAAGAAGGAGAAAGACGGCGGGCTCTCGAGCCAGATGGACCTGGGCTTACATTCCAACTTGCCCCTTAACAGCTGAGTTACTCAGCTTCTGTGAGGCCTTGGCTTTCTTTTCTGGAGAATAAATGATTGCCCCTACCTCACAGGGCTGCTTGGAGAATGAAATAAGTCAGACGACATCAAGGGGCTGGCATATCGCAGGCCCTGTTACTCAGACTCGCTTTGCCTGCTTCGCTCTGAATAAGTCATCACACAACTGACTTCCTCCCTGGTTCTTTACCCGGAGGACAAGGACCTGGGGAGACGGGGAGACAGGCATGAGTGGCCTCGACCCAAGGCATCTCTCGTTCTCCACTCCCACCGTGGGTAAGGTCAGTGGGGGCGGGCTGGTGAGTTTGGAAATATTCCTGAATTTGACGAGAGACCCTGGGGCCTGGGCTAGGCTGCCATCCTCCCTGCTCGGTCCGTTTCTCTCCTCTGGTGATAGACCTTCCAGCCTCGGTCTGCTATTTCACAGGACAGGAAAAACTCCTTCAAGGCGGGGCTTAGAAAGAAAAGCTGGCTTTGGAAGACTGAGCATCATTTAGAGGTTTGGGAGAATAAAAATATATGCCCCTGTGTATGTCCACATCTGTGGGTGAATTTGAAAGTGGAAGAGACTTGAAAAAATGCAAAGCTGAATGATGGCATTAACTGAGTGAGTCACCCGTGCTTGCAGGCAATCTGACCTGACTCCCAATACCCATCAGGTAGGTAAATCCTGTTTCCCTTTTTGTGTTTTTTGGTCCAGATGATGTGGAAATGCTCCCCTACATTGAATGTAAATCCTTGCCATGCAGCCAGCTAAGCACGGTTCTCCTACCCGAGATGTCAAGACAGAGAAGAAGGAGTCAGAGGGGCCCTCTTCCTCAGCAAGGACATCGTCCAGGTCCATGGTTGCAGCTCATCGCAGTGGGAAGCCACTGAAGACAGGAGACTCCATGGCTCCACCTCACAAATTGTTAGAGGAGGGGTGGGTCCCGGACTCGCCAGGACGCCCTTCAGAGGAGCGGGTGAGATGGCTATTTCAGACATCACGGCTGCTGGGGCGTCAGATGCATAAAGGTCAGAGGAGCCTGCGTCTGGAGCCTCCTCTGGGCTCCCCATAGCAGCAGCACCAAAACACACTGTGTTCATGACCCATTACACCAGCGGAGGAGCCACGGCTATGAAATTGCAAAACATTTTCCATCCTCAGCCCCTGTTCTGGTAACTTCACTTCTCATCGCTCAAATTTCTAGATTTTCCATATTTGCCTGAGATGAATGAATGACTAGACTCAAGAGTGTTGTTTGGGTTTTTTTTTTTTTTTTCGGTGGAATGCTTGGAAAATTACTGCT